ACGTCCCACATTTCCATGTTCGGAATCACTTTTCCATCAAAAAATTTTCATTATTCATGCGTTTTTGCACATATGCAAATGCAAAAACGCATACTGTGTGTGCATGCCTGTTTGTGTGTGTCTGTGTGTATGTGTGTCTGTATTTGCGTCTGCTCGGGTATTTCAACTCGGCAGCCAAGCAAGCTACGGCGCTGAAATTACGTCGGTAAGGTTCCCCGGCCAAATGTCACTCCAGAATCCTGGCACCAGCCTTCACGCATGTCTGAGGCTCGCGTGCGGGCCCGTGAAAATTTTTGGCGGGAAAATTGTTAACTCTGAAAACGGAAAAGCTAGAAAGCTGAAATTTTGTGAGGATGTTCCCTGTCAACATGTAAATTAAAGATTTTAAATCCAGACCTCAGATGTGCGCCACTCTCACGTGCGGACACTCAACAGTTGTAGCGGGAACACACCAGGCTTGCTGATGCTATCATGCATTTACGCACTAAACTCGCAGATCGCTAACGGCAGAAATGATCCCTGCGCTGTAGCCTAACACCTAGGCTCATATTGGCCGCGCTCTGGCCTCGTCTGGCATGCAACAGAAAGGGCGTCGTTTTGGATGAAAGTTTTGCATTATAGAGCCACATGAACCTCCTCCAGATACATGATTAATAATTTTTTGCATGAAGCCCGGTCATTTTTTCGGTAAATAATCGTTTTTTGGAAAAATGCATATTTCCAGTTCACCAAAAATTGGGAATGTTGCTAAAATCCAAGTATGCAGATGAACTGAATGTTCATTTACATGGACGAGGGCAGTCGTTTGCTGCAAAACGCATTCGTTTCTGATTTTTCAGTAAAGTTGAGTGTTTCGCGTGACCACCTGCAGGAAATTTTACTTCCAAGCAGAATTAAGACCGCACTTGAAAGTGGAATATCCCAGCGAAGTTTCAGCCCAGCATCTGATCCGGTAAGCGAAATAACCAGTTCGCTACAGCTATTCTGAAGTGCTCCAAGTCGTGGCGGAAGCGCAGTCGGAATTCATTTTAGGTACACGATTTCCCATATGGGTGATAAACATGCTGACAAAACTACAGTCTCTGTTTTCCGGTAGGTTTTCGAGTTAGCACAGTACCAAATTGCGCAACTGAGTGTTCGTACGCGCTGCACAAGCATGCACGACTACTGAATTTGAAATCTTTAGCTCGCACATGCACAGAGATTACTAATGCAAAGTTTCAGCTTTGTATCTTGTCTGGTTCGCGAAATCGTTTCCCGTCAAAGAAATCTCCATATTTGTTTCGGGGGTCCGTACGGTGGGTCAAGGCACGTATGAGCGAAAATTTTAAAACAGGAGGGTGACACACGGGGTAAAAATATATACCCAAATTTTCGCCTCTAAGCTTTCGCGGTTGCTGAAATGAAAGTGGGTGATGAAGTTCACTCGTTTCAGAACAAACACACGCATACATACACACGCACACACACGCACACACACACACACACACACACACACACTTCGACAATGTGCTTTTTTGCTCGCTGTAGCAGCGGTATAGCGTTGCACAGCACAAACGCATAAAAACTGACCATTAAGCGGAATTTGTTTACTTTCCTTTGTGCAAAATTTATGATGATTCACGCTAATAAGCGCACAAGGTAAATGTAAGCAAGAAGTATTCAGACAGTTAACGACCTGGTTGCTTCAACTATAGTGCAAAAACGCATGAACGCATGGCAGCCTGATGCGTTTCATTAAGTTTTTTAAACAGCGTTCTTGCGTTAAATCCAAGCGTACGTGAATGGTAAGATTAAAACCGAAGGGGCAACATGAGGTATAGGCATGGTCCGGAAGTTTCAGCTTCCTAGCTTCTCCGGTTCTCGAGCTGAAACTGGGCGTCAGAGAATGGGAACACACGGGCGCATACAACATACGGACAGACAACCGCTTGTTAATATGCGTTCTTGCTTTTGCATAATTATACAATTAGGCTGGAACGCACCAGGCGGGCCCGTGCGATCATGCATTTTTGCATCAAACTCTAAATAATTAGGTAAACTGTATGAATGGTTGTTTCTTCACACCTGTCTTTTGCGCTCAATATCGTAAATCATCATAAATTTTGCATAAACGGAAGTAAACAACTTCCGTTCAGCGGCCGCTTTAGAAAGCAACCCAGATGTTCAACCAGAAATTTTCCCACCAAAAATTTAAGTGCCTGTACACGGGAACTACGCGTACCATGAGGCTGAATTTGAAATCTTTAAGTTGTATTTGGGCGGAGAATATTTCCCTAAAATCTCAGCTTTCGAGCTTCTCTTGTTCCCGAGTTATCAATCTCCCCTCCAAAAAAGGGCCGTATGTGAGAACCGTGCGTGCTTGAGGGCTGAATTTGATAGCCTTCAGTTGTACATTGGCAGGAAATATCCTCTTAAAATTTTGGCCTCCTAGTTTTCTTAGTTCTTGAATTGGCCATTTTCCCGCCAAAAAATCCACAGGGCCACACGTGTGAGCCACGCACGCCTGGGAGTTGAATTTGGTAAATTTAAGTTACACATGGGCAGGGAACATTCCCTTAAAATTTCAGTCTCCTAGCTCTTCTGATCCCCGAGTTAGCGATTTTCGTGCCAGGAACCCTCACGGGACCGTACGCGAGAACCACGCCTGGGAGCCGAATTTGAAACCTTTGAGTTGTTTGTGGACAGGAAAAATAACCTCCGTAATTTCAGTTTTCTATCTTTTTTCGTTCCCGATTTACCAATTTTCTCGTCAAAAATTTCACCCTTTCGTACGCGGGGCCCAGACTTGTGTATGGATTGGTACTGCGGTCCTGGGGTGACACTTCAGCCGGAGAACCCAGAAGCAAAATTTTGGCGCTGGAGCCTACTTGGTTGCTGGATTGAAATACCCGAACAGGCGAACAGACACACACATACGCACACACACACATACACAAACTTACATACATACAGACAGGTTCGTCGCAATATGTGTTTTTGCAATTTGCATACGGGCAAAAACGCATAATAAAGCGAGAAAGCGAGGCGTTCGCCTGACACATCACTTACATCTTTTAAAATATACAGATCTGTTATTTTAGGACGTACTAATGGGTTTGTTTACCTGTGACCGGCATGAGCTATTTTGCTCCATCGAGCATAAATAGCTTGTGAGGCGGGTTCTTGCGCCCGTAATGTTGTATCTGAAAAGCAGTGAAAATTTGCTTGGTATTTTATCTAGTATTGCTGGTAATTGTAGATGCTGGTACGCT